TGTGAAACAAATTCATGAGGCTTTCAAATCATGCTTATTTTATATTTTATCTAGTCACATAAATGGATTAGCTAGTAACTGCAACTTCTGTTGAGATTTTGTATGATTGGTTTTTCTGTAACACTGAGGGAACACAAATGTATGGACTTCTGTTGACTTGTCTTCTAGGCATCATGCCCTCCAGTTTGTCATCCTCACAAATGTAAAGTTACACTGTTCACTACCACCCATGGTCACTGTCCTACAAGGTCATTGACCGTCCACATTAGAAAACTGACTGAGACCTCCTAAAATATTGCTTTTCCAATTAAGGCAAACTAAGTATGAAATAAGGATTATAACAACAATTCAAGAGCTATATTTAAATGTCACTAAATTTTTACAATAATTAAAATTTTAATATTTATTAAAAATTCTCATAGAAATTGAATATAGTCTCCCTGTGCCAGATTTATGCTCTTTCTTAGCATAAATTTACATCCTTACGGCCAGCACCACAGCTCAATAGGCTAATCCTCTGCCTGCAGTGCCGGCACACTGGGTTCTAGTCCCGGTCGGGGCGCTGGATTCTGTCCCGGTTGTCCCTCTTCCAGGCCAGCTCTCTGCTGTGGCCCAGGAAGGCAGTGGAGGGTGGCCCAAGTCCTTGGGCCCTGCACCCGCATGGGAGACCAGGAGAAGCACCTGGCTCCTGGCTTCGGATCAGCGGGGTGCACCAGCTGCAGCAGCTATTGGAGGGTGAACCAACGGTAAAGGAAGACCTTTCTCTCTGTCTCTCTCTCTCTCTCTCTCTCTCACTGTCTACTCTGCCTGTCAAAAAAAATTTACATCTTGACTTGGACTTAAGTATTTTAAAATAGTATTAATTCCAGTCGTGATATTGATGATTCTTTGAGCCAATTACAGCTTAGTAAGTACTGAAGAAACCTAGGTGGCAAGGCCAGGCCCTGTGGGACCCTCTGAGGCTTCCCTGAGAGTTTCCAAGCACAGGCTATGCCTGTGGTCATCCAGTGTTGCCAGGCATCAGTTGGTCACAGAGGGGACAGGGAGAATGGATAGCTCAGCAAGATGTATTCATACCATGTGATGGTCCCACAAACAAATCAGGAACATCACCTTTTTTAAACTTTTTTAAAAATTACTTTTAAATATTAATTTTGAAGTTGAGATTTGGATTTGGGTATGTCAAGACTTTTTTTTTTTTAAGCAATGAAGTGAGAAAGTTCAAAATCTCTAGTTTCATGAATTTTCTTAACATTCATTAAAGTAGCATTTCATAAACACTTTTCAAGCCTGATCCAAATTTTAAAATATCTAATACTTAAGCAGAGATGAATTAACATTAATAAAAAGTTCTTTTGATAAATTTAAAATGTTGTTCAATTTAAAATATTTGAAATGAGATGATATGGTAAGGTAAATATAGCACCAGACTAGGAGGAAGGTAACTTAGATACTAGATATTTTCCTCGTAGAATTCTTTGATTTTGAACAAATCATTTATTATCCAGGTCTTCCTGTTAAAAGAAGTCATCTCAAAGGCTCTGTATAACTCCACACGTTAGGAACCACAATGCACAACTGAGGGGATATTTAAGGCTGTTGAGTTTTTGTTATAGCTGGACAATTTTTTGAAGGTGGTGGTAATGATCCTTCATTGTGTGAATTTTAAATGGCTTAACAAAATGTTTGTTTCTGTAGAGATTTTAAAGGGTGAGAGAATCCTAGAAATAACATAAATGTCACCTAATTATAATAAACTTAAAAATAAAAATCCTTATTGAAGCTGGGAAAAATTACATAGTTTTGGGCATTAACATATTTGCCGAAGAACTTAGCTGGCATATGTAGCATCATTTGAGTGGAATATTCCAAATGTGGAATTCTAGGCTCTGTGTTAACTGAGCCACCCTGCATAGGAATTTAGAATCTAACTTTTGGATTATCAAGACCTTTGCCACGATTGCACAATTTTGTCATAATATATTCATATATAAGAGCATTCTCTCTTTTTTTAAAGATTTATTTTATTTATCTGAAAGATAGAGTTGCAGAGAGAGGTAAGACAGAGAGAGAGAGAAAGATCTACCATTTGCTGATTCACTCCCCAATTGGCTGCAATGGCTGGAACTGCGCTGATCCGAAGCCAGGAGCCAGGAGCTTCTTCCGGATCTCCCATGTGGGTGCAGGGGCCAAAGGGCTTGGGCCATCTTCCACTGCTATCCCAGGCCATAGCAGAGAGCTGGGTCGGAATAAGAGCAGCCAGTGCTAGAACCGGTGCCCATAGGGGATGCCAGCACTTCAGGCCAGGGCTTTAACCCACTGCGCCACAGCTCCGGCTCCTGGGAGCTTTCTGAAGAATGTTTAAGGTACATATTGCACAAGTTCATCTCATTTGTATTCTAGTGATCTTTTTTTCTGCTCACCATTCTTTTTTCCAAATTTTATTTATTTATACACCCACACACACATTTAGGAATATTTTTGGTGGCAATAAAAAATATCTGAAGTCATTCCCATTAGTAAAAAATAATAACTTCTTGGTTATCATTTGGTAGTGTTTTTTAAAACCCAGCAGTTGGCCGGCGCCGCGGCTCAGTAGGCTAATCCTCCGCTTTGCGGCGCCGGCACACCGGGTTCTAGTCCCGGTCAGGGCGCCGGATTCTGTCCCGGTTGCCCCTCTTCCAGGCCAGCTCTCTGCTGTGGCCAGGAAGTGCAGTGGAGGATGGCCCAAGTGCTTGGGCCCTGCACCCCATGGGAGACCAGGAGAAGCACCTGGCTCCTGCCATTGGATCAGCGCGGTGCGCCTGCCGCGGCGGCCATTAGAGGGTGAACCAACGGCAAAGGAAGACCTTTCTCTCTGTCTCTCTCTCTCTCACTGTCCACTCTGCCTGTCAAAAAAAATAATAAAAACAAACAAACAAAAAACCAGCAGTTTATTTAAAATCGAACTTCTTCATTACTGTTGGGCAGCATGGATTCTGCATTGAGAAATTGAATAGCAATCATCTAGTAGGTGTAAATTCTGCCAGAAAATGAAAATTATTTATTTCTTAGAGATACAGTCACATTAGTTTTTTTAAGATATATTTATTTGAAAGGTGGAGTTACAGAGACGGGGGGGGGGGGTCTTCCATCCTCTGGTTCACTCCCCAAATAGCCGCAACAGCCAGAACTGAGCCAATCCAAAGCCAGGAGCCAAGAGATTCTTCTAGGTCACCCATATGCATGCAGGGACCCAAGCACTTGGGCCATCTTCTACTGCTTTCTCAGGCCATAGCAGAGAGCTGGATCAGAAGAGGAGCAGCCAGGACTCCAACCCGCGCCCATATGGGATGCCAGCATTACAGGCGGCGGCTTCACCCGCTATGCCACAGCGCTGGCCCCCACATTGGTTTTTGAGGCATAATCATAACTAGATTAAGATCTGTGCTTTACTTTAATAGTTTGAGATGCCTGTTTGGGATCATAACAGGTAATTCAGACGGACTTAGAAAAAAACGGAAGTTATTAGCTGCAGAAACATCTGTCACAACCCCACTAGCACTCAAGGAGTTACATGATGTTTATCCAAGTTTCCAGTTCCACTGTCTTGTGTTTTCATATTTAAAAGTCTTTGAGTGCCAATTTCTTACTAATACTTAATGTAACATCTTTACCTGGAATGTATTTTAGCTATTTTTGTATAGTATAACTGAAGCATGCACATTTTGTACATAGTGATTTTTTTGGTGGGACATATGCAGTGTGATCCAGCTGTTTTCCCTCCTTTGGTTGTACTGACCTAGAAATGTTGGTCATATCAAATATTAAATTTTAAAACCCATTCTTTAATTGAAATTGTTTTAAATATTTATAGGAGTAAGTGCTGTGAAATGATAAGCAATTTATAATATTTTTGTCATGACCTGTATTTCTCCAAATTATTGTAATATAATAAAAATAGTTATGGTAACTAAAAATAATAGTACTAATAATACAGAGGCTGGTGGCTGGCATTATGGTATAGCAAGTAAAGCCTCAGAAACATCGACCATCCCACAAGAGTGCCAGTTTGAGTCCTGGCTGCTCCATTTATGATCCAGCTCCCTGCTGGTGCACCTGGGAAAACAGCAGAAGATGACCCAAGTGCTTGGGTCCCTGCACTCACATGGGAGACCCTGAGGAAGCTCCTGGCTCCTAGCTTCATCCTGGCACAGCCCTGACCCTTGCGGCCATTTGGGGAGTGAACCAGAAGATGGAAGATATCTATATAGATATAGATGTAGATACGGATATAGATATTATATATATCTCTTTCACTTCATTTTAATGAATAAAATAAATATTAAAAAAATACAAAAGCTGAATCATGATTTGTCTGAGTCTCCACTGTAATTCCATTTTCCTTCCAATGTGTGGAGATATGGCTATACTGGGAATACTGAGGGAAGTGTAGTTGTTCTAACAAAAGCACACAAAGACATTTTCCTGTACCTGCCTGCCACAGTAGTTTTGGAAAAAACCTGAAACCCAGAACTCCTACAGATATCCTTCCATCACAAGAAAGCTGACCTGCTACGAATGAGGGAGGGAAAAGCAAGAAAGTTCCAGACTCATTGATGATACCCCTCGCCCACTGAATTGAGCAACCCTGGAAATGCTCTACATTGGAGTTCTCTTCTATGCTATGTGCCATACAAAGTTAAAGAAAAATAAAGCCAAATAGATTGAGTTTCTAAATAGATTGAGTTTCTTTTTATTAGCAGCAGAAAGCATCTTCATTGAAATAATCCTGCCATACACTTTAATTCTTTCTTAAAATTTGATTCCTATTATAGAGTAACCTGCTACCCACAAACAATATATAACAATTAAAATTATATATGCATAAAATGAACTTTGAGTTTGTTTGAATTCAAAATATGACATGTCTCTGATAATGGAGACCTTGTATTCAAATCATTATTATCTTGAAATGAACTTTGAATTAAATACCTATTTGTAGATTTGATTTGCATTTGAAACTGACCCCTTATATGAAATAACAAAACTCTTCATCTTATTAACTAATTTATTTGCCTTTCTCTGAAAACATTCCTACCCCCTTAAAATAGTATATTATTAAAGTCTACGGACTTTGGAATTATATACTGATTCAGAATTACAGTTACACAGTGTTTTAAAAAAAGGTACATGTAGATGGAATTTACTGTTCTAGCTTTGTTCCCCCTCATGTACTTTCTGTCAAATTTGTTTCAATTGCTATAGGATATTTTCAGTTTTTATTCATTGCCTTCTTAAACCTTTGATTCAATTTTATTTTTTTTTAATTTACAAATTTACAAGTAAAATTGTCCACATTTATAATATATGGCATGTTTTCACACATGCATGCATTGTGGAATAGCTAAATCAAGTCACGTAACACATGCAGTACCTCACATCCTTAGATATGAAAAATTATGATGGTATTGTGGTGTGGTCCACACTCTCTCTTTTCTAATTCTTGTCCATGAAGCTGTAGGAAGCAAATGATGTCTCACTTCATATTTATTGGAGAAAAGTGTTTTTAATAAAGTAATGTGGCTCAGGTAAGATCAGATGCAGGAGCAGCAGTAAGGGTTGAATGCAAAAGGGACCAGCAACACCACACCGAGAAGGTCATCATTATTTTGGCTTCCAGGTCAAGGGCAGAGGCTGTGGAAGCCATGGGCGAGGACACCTTCTGTAGAGTCACCAGTCCTGGGAAGCCACTCTGTGGAAGAGTAGCAGCCACCAAGAAAACCTTTTCATGATGAAGAGTCAGAGACAGATTCTTCCCTGAGTGTCCCTTCTTCCTTTCATCCCAGGCATCCTGCAGGTGTCAAAGTAGAAAGTTATTTCCAGACCCAACTCTGAAAACGGCCTCTTTCCCCCTCCTCAAGACCTCACAAGACAACCTGTAGTAAGGAGAAAAAGAAAAATCTGAAATCTTTCTGAGCAGGGCTATCTCAGAGCACAAGCTTTAAGTGAAGAAAAGAATCTCCAAGGGCTGTCACTGTGGCACAGTAGGCTAAGCCTCTGCCAGTGGCACTGGCAGCCCAGATGGACTCCATTTCGTGTCCCAACTGCTCCTCTTCTGATCCAGCTCCCTGCTAATGGCCTGGGAAAGCAGTAGAAGATGGCCCAAGTACTTGGGCCCCTGTACCCGCATGGGAGACCCAGCTTCAGCCGTTGTGGCCATCTGGGGGAGTGAACCAGTAGGTAGAAGACCTTTCTGTCTCTCCTTCTCTCTGTCTGTAACTCTACCTCTTAGATAATAAAATAAAATCTTTAAAAAAAAGAATCTTCAGTGCAAATTGTTACATCAAAAGCCTGATCCAAAGTTTTTCCTAGTGTTTCTGCCTCTTTGTCCTGCACCTCTGCTATCTGTTCAGGATAAACTGAAACTCTCTCCAGAGAGGATAAAAGAACCTCGCAAGTTGACGGAAGTCCATAGTGTCTTGGGAAAAAATGGAGAAGACTATGCTTAAGTGACATGGAGGCACATACATTCCCAGATGCAATGTCCACAGCTCCAGATCTGCCACCTGAGATTTCTCTAACAGTACAGAACACACCATCCAGGGCAGAGAGGAGAGCAGAAACAGGAAGCTGTGTGTGACCCAGGAAGCTTATGCCACACAACCCAGTACAACTTAATTCGCTTTAGTGACTTTTCCTTCATTGTCCCCAGATTCTTCACTGAAGAGCTCCAGGCTTGGTTACCTTTCTCTAATCTCCATGAACCTTAACTCTTTCAACTTTGACATGCGAACAAACGTGGACTGTTGATTCTGCATTTCCAAGAAATCTGACCTCCACTGGGAAATGAAAGATTTTATATAGGTCCACTGATTTACAAATAACTTGTTTGAGCAAAGCCACATCTCTTCCCCAGAAAAGTCTAGAATATTCTTCACTACCACTTACCTCTCTGAGTCCCAAAGTAGGTAAACAGACCCAGCCCCAGGAAGAGTAGACCCATCACAGAGGCCACAATTCCACTCAGCATCTTGCTCTGTGCAGATCCAGACTGTGCCCCTGAAGAAATAAGTCAAATTTGGTCATTTTTCACTCAAATGCAACCTCTATATGGAGACCTGGAGATTCAGATCTTTGAGATTTAAAGAAAATTGCCCAAAGTATAACTTCTCTAACTGAGACACAGAGATGCAGAGCTTTGGAAATGGAACAAGAAATATGAACTAGCAGCATTAGAACAATTAACCTTGTCTGGAAAAAAATGTAAGAATGAGAGTATTTACAAGTCTCAGCCATGGAACTCATTGAAGTACCACAACCCTGAAATGACAGCTGTTATATGAAGCATCTGGGATTCACTGCGGTTAAGGGGCTTGCTCAGAAAGGCAGAGCCAATGGAAAGGCAGAGCTGAAACTGGACTCCCCTCACATCAGGAAGACCCTGCACGGCTTCTCTTCTCAGAGCATAGAGGACAACTCAGAAAAGCATCAGAAACACAAGCCCAGCCTCAGATGCAAGAACTGAAGCCCAGGGCAAAGGAGGTGACCATGAGCTGACAGGTGTAGCTACCTCCCCAGAGGGTAGAGGTGTTCGTAGTAGCCACCACAGGGCTACCCCAGCAATCTGGGCTGAAGGAAAAGAGCATATGCAGCAGATGCAGACACAGTGCGGGGAGAGCAGCCTGACACTCAGCCACAGGCAGAGTCCCCTTCCTGGAGGGGGAGGGCTTTATGGGTCGGGAAGCTGCTCACTCCATTCCACGGTGATGGGGCTGGTCACGCTCGGGTGCTCCACCTGGCACGTGTACACCTCTCCACTCTGAGGAACTGTCTCAAGCATCACCAGGGTCTGGAAGGTCCAGTCTCCATTACGGATCAGGCCCGTGGACACCACCCCAGCCTCCTCTTCCTCTCCATTCCGGAACCACCGCACTTCAATGTGGCCTGGATAGAAACCACTCACAGCGCAGACCAGGAGGTTGTGGTGCTGCAGGGGCTGGGTCTTTGCAGGGTACACGGTCACCTTCGGCACAACTAGGAGGCAGAGGGAAAAAGGATAAGTGATTCAGGCACAGAAATTCTCCCTCGTGGCTGCTTTCTGCCTCTCTCCAAACCCAATCCAGTCAAAGCTGGCCGTGTGGTCCAACAGTGCTGAGCCTTGAATGCAGTCCTTACAGCAGGACCCCTTAGATCTGAGAACACTGAAAACAGTTGCGTTCACTGGGCTTCCCAGCTTGGAGAAATTTTCATTACGGAATTCAAGTGCTTACAGGTGTCTACAAAGCATATGGAATATTAGTTGAAAGTGCAATTTTTGGAGTCAGTCTGTTTGTATTCAAATTCAGTCTCTGATTCCTACTGTTATAATCCTCGGTGACTTTTGTCTTGACTTTTCCTACCAGTTTTCTTACCTATAAAGAGCCATAATGGCACCTACTTATCCTCATGGTTATGTGAGGATTAATGCATATAAAATACGTAAATCCATGGCTGAAATTTACCCTTCAATATTTGTCAATTTTTGCTCGTTTTGCTTGTTTGCTCTGAGAGAAAATATGGTTCAAATAGTATAGCAAACTGGGGGACACCAGGAGGGTAGACAGGAAGATAAGACCATGGAATCCCAGGAATGCTGTCCTGATGCCTCACACCTTAGAGTGCCAGAACAGGGGTAGCCTGAGAGGCAGGTACAGAGGAGATTCTCTAAGGCTATGAGCAGAGTCCCAACAAGAGCGGTTCTGAGGAGAGGAAAAGGAGCAAGCATAGTCATTCACTAAAACGTTCTTGTGTCTACACTCAGTTGCTCAACCCCTCTCCTTTGCAACACAACATAGCTATTACAAAAACTCTTACTAGTTCACAACTGTCTTTCTAAAGTGACATTTGGGGTCAAGAGAGGACCCAGGATTCATTAATATGTGTTCTTAATGTCAGGACAGTCCCTGTGTTACTGGCTAGCCTAAGCCAAAATTAATATTTCAGGTTCTAGCCTTAAGCTTAGAGAAGCATTCTGAGCCTGGGCACAAACGAGACAGCCAACACGGTAAAAGCTTAGGATTTATTTGGGGAACTGAGAGAAATACACAGGAATAGGAGAGTTTTATTAAGGGAGAGGGGGTCAGAAAGAACATATGGGAAGTTCCAAACCAAAATTTCAGAAGGCAGGCCAGGGGTCACATGCAGGAGTCTATAGGCCAGAGGCTGTGGAGGAGCCACACTGGGGAGAAGGACCAGGGTCAGGCCAAAAACAGAGGGCACGCAAGAGGCGTGCTCCACGCCTCTTATTCTCTTCCAAAAGGGGAGTGGTTACATAGTCTGACTGACAGATGGGTGGATACAGGTGAGATCATGCAGGGAGCCAGGGTAGGGTGTGATCTCCAGCTCATGAATCTAATCAATCTAACCCAATCTTCCTGATCAGGTCCCATATCACCTGATATTGTCATTCTTAACAAATGCATCTTTTTTATTTTTTTAAGAAGAAACTGGGAGGAAATAGTTTCACAATACCAGAAAAAGATTTAAGATTCATGATAAATCATTGCTAACAATTTTTCAGTATATTTCATTAAAATGTTTAAATTCTTAACACAGAAAGCAATAAACAGAATCAAAATATAAACTAGAGGAAATACTGCATGAACTAACAACAAACAATCTCACTGCCTAGAGAACCAGTAAAACACTGAAAGTAGGAGATCATTGGTCATTGTTAGAGCAGTCTTGAAAATTCACTAATAATTGTGAAAAAAATTCACACAGCTTAGAAACCAAAAAAATAGACATTTATAATTAAAAAAACATAACATTCTAAATTATGATTAGCTCTGAGCATCTGCCGGTTTAGTGCATAGGGATTCAACCAACTAGCGTTGAAAAAATTCAGAAAGATATTGTGGGGGCCGGCACTGTAGGGTAGTGGATAAAGCCGCCGCCTGCAGTGCTGACATCTCATATGGGTGCCGGTTTGAGTCCCGGCTGCTCCACTTCTGATCCAGCTCTCTGCTATGGCCTGGGAAAGCAGTAGAAGATGGCCCAAGTCCTTGGGCCCCTGTACCCACTTGGTCCGGAAGAAGCTCCTGGCTCCTGGCTTCAGATCTGTGCAGCTCTGGCCATTGCGGCCAATTGGGGAGTGAACCAGCGGATAAAGACCCCTCTCTCGCTCTGCCTCTCCTTCTCTCTGTGCAACTCTGACTTTCAAATAAATAAATCTTTTTTTAAAAAAAAAGACATTGTGGAGCCGGCGCCGCGGCTCAGTAGGCTAATCCTCCGCCTAGCGGCGCCGGCACACCGGGTTCTAGTCCCGGTCGGGGCGCCGGATTCTGTCCCGGTTGCCCCTCTTCCAGGCCAGCTCTCTGCTGTGGCCCGGGAGTGCATTGGAGGATGGCCCAAGTACTTGGGCCCTGCACCCCATGGGAGACCAGGAGAAGCACCTGGCTCCTGCCTTCGGATCAGCGCGGTGCGCCGGCCGCAGCGTGCTAGCCGCGGCGGCCATTGGAGGATGAACCAACGGCAAAGGAAGACCTTTCTCTCTGTCTCTCTCTCTCACTGTCCACTCTGCCTGTAAAAAATAAATAAATAAATAAAAATTAAAAAAAAAAGACATTGTGAACTCTTTTTTTGTGGCATGATTCCCTAAACAATACAGAATAATAACCATTTACCCTGTATTAGCAATAATGTATTATACATAATTTACACAATTCAGAGATGACGTAGAGTGTAGGGAAGGATCGTGTATGTCATATGCAAATCTCGTGACATTTTATATAAGGAACTTGGGCATCCCGGGATTTTTTTCGTCCTCCAAGGTCCTGGAAATACCCTCCTCAGAGACTGGGAAGCAGGTGTATGCGACAATACTGAGAAGATCTAACAAAGCACAATGTGAAGTCAATTGTGTCACAACTGTACAAAGGAATAAGATGTGACTACTTAACTATCACTACCCTGATAAAAACAGCAATATCACTGTGTAAGATTATCATTCAAAACCAATGTCATAATCACTTCAACTGTGTAAAAGTACTTACAAGGAGAAAGCAAACAAACAAAACACAGCAGGAAATTTATACCTACAATAGTTCTGAAATGGTCACAGGGTCAGGTGCCTCAGAGGTTCACACACGCACACACACACAGACACACGCGCGCAAACACCCACGCGCAGGTTAGTCTGACACCGTGAGCGACATCCCTCTACAGACAGCACGGCTTGGCTTGCACGTTCATTTCAGGGTTGTTTGGACTAACGGAGGCCAGCCTGAGGCCAGCATCCTCCCTGTCCAAAACCATTTGCCCCCTCCCCTGCCCCTCCTAAAGTCCAGCCCAACCACAGACTTTGTGAATGTCCCTTCCCCCACATCTCTGGGGACCCAGCCCAGTAGCGATCTGCTCCACCTCCGGTCCCCTGCACCTGGTCTCCGGTTTCCTCTCTCCCCGTCTCCTCTCTCTACCACTGCACCCTGCACCCTAGCCCCCACCTCCCACACACACAGGCGTCGCGAGTGCGCCCTGCACAGCACACCTCGCCCGCCACCAGCGCGCCCACTCCCCGCGGTACCCAGCTGCTCTCACCCCGCCGCGGCACCGCGAAGGGCTCCACAACCTCGTAGTTGATCCTGCATCGGTCCACCGCAGCCCGCGTCCGCTCCAGGAAATCCTTCTGCCGGTTCCAGTAGGCGGCTGACTGGCGTCCCAGCTCGTTGACGGGGCGGAACTCCCCTACGTAGCTGTCGAAGCGTGCGTACTCCTCGTGGTTAAATATGACTCTGACTATAAACCGCACCTGCTGCGTCCCGTTGTAGAAATAGCACTCGCCTTTCACCTGCTCCAGGAAGCGAGCTGTGGGGACACAGAGAATCTGGTTACCCAGGCAGCCCCCCGGGATACTCTAGTACCCCAAGCACTGCACCCTTCATTTCCCAAATGCCAGAGGTGGAAGGCGACCCCCAAAAACTATTCGGGACTCACACATATATGTGTGTACATATAGGAACATGTGCATACATGCATGCATACATTCATAGCACACGTATAGTTGCAAACATACTCCATAT